CAGGTTATTTAGAAGGTCTCATTTTGTACTTCAAATATTCATCACACAAGCAGAATAGGATGAGATTTTCCTTGCTTCTGTAGGAAAGATTACAAGATACAAAGGCATCAGCTGTGGCTTGGGACACCTGTGAGCTTCCAGCCCCAGATGCTGGAGGATAATCCTGGGAAAGTAATAGGAGTTGTTCCCTGGGTCCATAGCCATTGTCCATCCAAGGCAGAGTAATGGGCCAGATGTCCTCACCTCGTTTACTTGTACCTCTGAGCCTCCAATTACTCTATCAAATTCAGTCAAAATGAACAAATAGATACACAAGTTATTAGAGGCAACAACCAGACAGCAGAACCAAAAGCAATGAATACACGTGATATGTTTCCATAGGAAGCCAGGCTAAAGCAAAACACTAGTGTTTGAAAATGAAATTACTTCTTTAGGAATGTTTGCTGATTTCCTATAGGGGGGGAAACAAGCTTTATTTAATTTTTATTGAATGGTATTCTTCAGAGATTGTCTTCCACTGCTAATTCAGGAGGTCAACCTGTGTGTTGTTCTGTGTAAAGAAAATTTTCCTTGAAATAATAAATACATTTCTTTAAAAAAATCCAATCCTCTTTTCCCCTGCTTACCCACCAAAGTAACAAAATGTCCAAATTATTGTGAGCAAAATTTACCCACAAGCCCAGAATATTAACTGAGAAATTCCAGTGCTCTTGAAACTTACAATAAGAGAAAGTGGAATTACTAAAAGTATAAAAGCCAAAGCCCCCATTGAGGTCCATGTATTCTCTGTTTATGCTACTACAGAGTGTGCTAGACAAATGTGTAGGGTTTGCAAAATCCTTTGGGAATCCCTGAAAAATGAAGTGGGGAGAAAAAAAGATTAGCTCCTCACACAAGGGCATAATAAAGCTACTGAACATTTCTGTCTTAATTGTGCTTCATACTAGAGTATAAGAGAGAGTTACCTCAGCTGAATAAAATGCTAAACTCTCCTGGCAGCAAAATGCCTCCTTTAATATAACAACAGGAATAAACCTCTCACTTATAAAATACAGTTGACAAAAAAAGGCTAATAACTCATACAGATTTTACATACAATAGAAAAAAAAAGCCTCTAGAGTTACTATGCATGAAATATAACAATCTAAATCAGCAGTTTAATTTGCATTTCTGCATATCAGACTTAATATTCCCATTGCATACAGCCATAATAAAAAGTGCTGTTTCATTGACCACAGAAGATAACATTGTGTGGTTTTCTTTTTTTATTTCATTTTCTCTCTCCTAAAATATGCCTTTTACCACCTGTCAGTGCATTTGTCCTCCTCAGCGGGAGGATAGTAAACGATACTTGACACAGTATCTGGTCAACAGAATTGAAAATTTTAACCTTCAAAAAGGGGGGACCACAATTCCTACTTGGAGCCTTCTACTCATAGAAAACAGAACCATATGTTTACTGTAGAGTAACTATGGTCAATGATAATGAGAAAAAGCAAGAATACCACAGAACACACAAATGAGTTAGGATGGAGTTCGATGCAATATCGACATGTGTGGAGTGAAGAGTCTTCATTGGAGTTGCCTGATTCTGTGATTTTTGGGGAAAAAAAAGAAAAAAAAAGAAAAAAAAAGAGAAAGAAAGAAGACTGCTATGCAGCTGAACTGAAAAACAGGACTTTGTTCACTCTCACTAATGGATCAACTGACAGTCAAATAGAGGTGTCTAACTGAGAACTTCCATTAGGGTCTGTGGAGAGTGATGACTTGATGTAGTTGACCAAAAGCATCCCACTTGGACTGCTCTACATATCCCGCCTGGCCCACAATGTCTCATATCTGCCAGCCCTGGATAGATGGATAATTGAGGGCACCTCAAACAGTTCTAGAAGCCTATATTTATCTATGGTTTCATCTGCACTGTCATGTGGGGCTGGACACCAGTGTCATGTGTAGATGTCCGTATCTCTGACAGCCTCGTTTAGTTATCCCAAAGTCACCCCTGTGGTCTGTGCAGATGGGAAAGACAGGAGTTGGTTAAGTTTGTTTTCTTCTTCTGTAGGGTTGTGTTGGGAGCAGGAGAGGGGGTGGTATACTGGAACTCCCTGCACAACCCTCCCCACTCTGCATCTGGACATGTGTATATTTGGGTAATGCATTAAAATCTCTGAGATTACTGGGAGATAAAATGGGACCCTTCCAAGTCCCATAGACTAGGAATCACCCCCCTGACTCCTGATCATCATTGTCTGCCCACAAGGCTTGGTCTCAGGCTGCAGCTGAGAGATCCAAGGTGGGTGTTTGTGCTCATGGGATGCTTGTGAGAAAGGTCTTTCAGTGACAACCAGCTCACAGCCATGACTTCTCACAGCCATGTGTTTCCAGGCACAGAGCATCTTCTCATGGTTGCAGAAGGCGGCACCTAGAGCAGACCCTAAGAGCTTTGTAAAGAAATTACTTTCTTTAACAGTGACATTTCCTTCCAGGCCAGTTTCTATTTAAGCAAGAGCCAAAGGAAATTCCCTGGGGACCCCAAGATTTTCCTCCACAAAGGGGAGTTTTGTGGAAGAAGCTCTCCAGGCAGCTAATGCAGCATTGTCACAGCATAACAAATCTAATGTTGTGGGGTTCCTTTGGGTCTGTTCAAAAACTCTCCGTATCCTGGGCTTCAGGTTCCAAAGGACTCAATTTTAGACCTAGTTGCAGTGGATGAAGGCTAGGTTAGGAGCCTATCTTGAGGTTATAGGAAATCAAGCCTCTGGCTGATATCTGAACAAACAAACTCACTCATGCAAATGAGCCATTTTTTGTGAAATTACAGGCCTATCTTTGCTTCTCATGATGAAATTATGTTTCAGAGGTGTGCTGGGATTTAAGCTCAGTTTTAGATTTCACTGTCCAAAGCAGTTTGTGAGTGAGAGGTGAGGTTGTTTCTTTGGGCTGCACGGGTGTTTCACCAGATGGCACTGTGCTCAAGGACTGACTCTGGACAGAAACAGGGGTGGACAAGGTGTCCAAGCAGGAGGCGTGGAGGTATATGGCATGTAGATACACTAGCAAGTTCCCAGAATCTGGCTGGTGAGCTGCACAACATTAGCATGTCCCAAATGAGACTCCTCTCAAAAGTGGGGATGATGTTGAAACTATCCTGCTCCCTTGCACATTGAGTGTGCTCCAAGTGCCTCCAGCACAGCCCTTGGGGGAGGCACCATGTCCTGTTGAGCACACCAGATGGCAACACCATTCAGAAGGTGTCTTGTGTTCTCCTTGAGGCAGCATTTCACTAAGTCCTCTGACTGAAATGAGCAGTAAGACTCACAGAGGCAGCATGAGACTTAGTGCTGTCAGAGCAGAGCCTGCCACAGAGCTCTCCTCAAGACTGTGTCTCATGGAGTGCTCTGTGTTCTTTTTGGAATCTGCTTGGCTCAAACCCTGCCTCTGTGTAACAAGTACCTATATGTAGGTACCTCAACCTAAAACACAGGAAAAGGGTAGTTTTTTTTGTTTTAAATCTTACCATTCTGTGTGTTCCCCTTTGAGGTGTTTGAGTCAAACAACTGCATTGGAAGACATTCACAAGTTCCCTGATAACTTTAGGTTACTTGCAGCCTTTATTTCCAGGGAAGTTTGCCCATCCTTTTCCTGGTAAATCTGCTATTCAAGAACATCGGATCCACAGGAGATGTAATATCTATTAATTTTTTCCTTAATGCACCAAAGGTTTTGCTGTCCGTCTTGCGTGGTCATTTAATAGCTGTTAAGGTACTTAACTGATATTTGGTTTTGAGCCGTGACATAGAGGTGATAATGCACTTTTCCCCCCTCTACTGAATGTTTGTTTAGTCTGTTTTGGCTATATTCTCCAGGGTCGTCACTGTCCCATTTTGTACAAGTAACATGCAGCCTGAGTGCCAAGGCTGGTGGGACCACTGTGGATTAATTAATGAATAATAATAATAAAAACATATGATGAGTCATTTTAATTGACACTGTCAACTTTAATCATTTAGGAAAATGCCAATATTCATATTTGCTAAAAATTGTAACATATTTTTGTTAAAAATTAAAACAACAGTAGAGAAGAAGAAATTAAAAAACAAACAAAAAATTTAAAAAGGAAATAAATAAATTAAAAAAAAGAGAAAAGCCATTAAAAAAGACAGAGGTGTGGAGAATCTGCTTTTTCAGATGAATCTACAGGGTTCAGCTAGCTTAGCCTACTAAGACAAAGGCTAAGGGTATAGACTTAATCTTTGTAAATATAGGATAAAGGATTGCTTATACAAAATAATAATAAAAAATATTTAGAACAAGTGAGTATAAATGGGCCATTAAATAGGAGCTGATTTCTAACCATCAGAGCAGCAAGGGTCAGAAACAGCTTCTCACTGCCTATAGAAAATGTCTTTTTTTAGGCTGAGAGGACTACAAGTTGCATAGGCTCTTCATCTGGTCTGAAACAAACTGGTCTGAAACTTCAGATCATCTATAGTTGCTCTGAGTTTAAATTCATTAAATTAACCAACTGAAGGTCTTATTTTGGGGCTTGATGTTTGGTGGGGTTTTTTGGGGTTTTTTGGGTCTTTTTCTGGTATTGATGTGTTTGGGATAGGTTTGTTTAGACAATTTCTCATTATTTTTGGAGATGTGTGGCTGTACAGTGTGAGGAGGGTTATGTGCAGTGGTCAGAAGGCTGCCATGGAAAGGCCTCTCTCCATCATATTACTGCTTTTGTAAGGTGATGATGTGATGAAGCATCTGTGAGGGAAGGTCACTGAACCTGAGAACTCAAGAGGTCTTTTGCTAAAGCTGAGTCTTACTAAATGGAGTTGTAACTAAAAGTTGGCTTGTTTAACTACTGGAAAGTACCTGAAGTTCATTTCACAAAACATGTGGTATATATGGCATATGCAGGGCTTTGCCTAAAGTCAATGAACGTATTTTGGGATTTTGTATCTCCTGCCATCTTGTTTTCTCTCTAAAAATACCTCCTTCTCAGGTCCAAGGATACCTTTGCTGCAAGAGCACTTGCAGCAACAACAGATGGTCCCTCCTGTGCACAGAAACTTTACCAGGAACACAGATGCCTCCTTGAATGATTTAGCTCATCATGGGCAGAAATTAAAGCCTTTGGACAGGTGAGGAAATCTTTCGAACAGGTACATACATTGGTCAGAAAGTGATTGCTACTATTTTAGTGATAGATGAAGGATCACTGATGTAGAGCTGTCACCCACCCACTTTGAAGTTCCTGCCCATTGGTATGTAGTGGAAGTGGCAGAGTCACCAAAAAGCAAAGCCTTTCCTCCCTGCACAGACTCCTTTCTGGGAGAAATGAAGCAGCAAATGAAGACATACACACGTGTGCACATACAAAGGTAAGTGTTGCCATCAAATGGGTGGCATCTAATGATCTAGATATGGCATGCACTCAAGTCCACTTCTACTGGACTCCTGCCTGGGAATCAGGTCCAAATTGCAGACATGGAAATGTTGCTGTTGAGATGTCCTCTTAGCTGTCCTTGAGGCCAGTGGAGATCTGCTCTATACAGCCAGTGGGTCTGTGGTGGGATTCAAGAGGTGAAAATGGTTCTAGAAATGCTCATCCATACATAGAATCCATCCAAATATCCAAGTTCCTGTTATACTTTCCTCCCAACAAAGGCTGTTGAGAGCTTTCCTTATGATAGAGGTTTTTTACCGATGTGCCAGAGAGCAAAGTTTTATCCATCTAGTCCTTCCCAGGAAGTTTGTTACTGTTAGCAGTGATGTTGAAAGCACTTTTGAGTGAAATTCATCGCACATTACCACAAAATTTGTGTTGAAATGGGAAAGAATGAAGAGTTAAAAGCTGAAAGGCCCTTTCTGTCCTGTTTGGTAACAGAATTTATTTTGTGAGGAAGAAAGAAATTATTGAAGAAAACCAGAAGGGAAAGAAATAATATATCCTGCTGCTGCAACTTTACAAATTAATGGCAGGAGCTCAAATATAAAAAATTTATACCCAAAGTTTTTACCATGTCACTGCCACACACAGTGTTTATTGTGCTGTTTGCTGCGTTTGCATCACCAAAACCTCTTGTATAGGAAAACAATGTTTTGCTAAAAATTCAAAAAGTATTTGAGTAACAGTATTCTTCCCATCATTGGTGTTTTCCAGCTATAGTGTCAAACAGGGAGTTATAATGGGAACATGAAATCATTCTGGAAAGAAGAAACAGCTCCTGGAGGAAGGGAAGAAGCAAATTGAGAGAAGAAGGAAAAACCTTACCACAATGAAAGGCAATCCATTTGCAAAGAGGTAAATACCTCACTTGGGAAGAAGAATAACAAGAGGCTGGCCCAGGAAGCAAGACTTTCTTAATGAACAGGATTATACCTGTCTGAACTATTCCCATGTAAAACAAGTATTTTCTGAACTTCAGATGAGGAAAACATCAGAGACATCCCACAGGAAAAAGTATTTTGGTGAAAGCTGCTTCTCGCTCAAGTACTGGGACATTTGAAGGTCTGAAAAAGCCTTGAAACAGAAGAAGCTGGAACAGATTTCCAAGGGTTATCTCCCAGAAATCATGATGCTTTTTAATCCTGATTTCTACTACAGTCCTCTTGAAACATCTCATTCTTCATTCCTGTCCTCAGTTTCTGGCCGGATGATTGATTTTGTCATCAAAGAAGCTGGATCACTGAGATGAGTTTGGCTCAAGGTCTCACAGAGAGGTTGCTGTAACTCCGTGAAAGATTCTACAACCAAACCAAACCAAAACAGCCATCTCTAAATTTTAATACAATTTCAATAGAAAAATAGACACAACTTCTCTCAGTAAAGTGCCTCTCACATCCTGTAGGATGAGGGACTGAGTTGCACTAAATGTATTTACAAGGCATATAATTAAAATATTTGGCACTTACACAGAGAAGGTGTTCAAATGACCAAAATTTCAAAGACTAGGAATGCAAATCCAGTTTAAAATACCTACTCTAAAGACAGACCTGATTTTCTAACCCACTTATCCATCACTTCTTCCAAACACCTTTGGTGAGACCAACCCATTTAAAAAAGTCAGGATACTCTTCTAAAGCAAGCTTTCAGGTAGATTTACGATCACAGATTTTGTTTTGAAAACCATCTAGTCTTGGCTGTATCCGTGCTCAGCTTTAGCTCCATCAATTGTTTTGTTTCAAATAACACAAGGTACAGTAGCACTTACACTGGCTGACAAATTTAGTCATAGAACTGTAATGACATAATCTGAGAATGTGTCTAACATTTAGTGTAAGTACTATACATGTCTTCCAGATGGTTTCCCTAAGCCAGGAGGGGAGCTAGCGTGGGTAGTAAAACCTTTGGATGGGTTTTATTATGCTTGAGAAGCAACCAGCATGAAAATGAAGGAAAGTACCAGTTATGGCTCATACTCTGCCAGCAGCCCAGTGACTCCTTCCAGCTCCACCCAGCATCACCGGACTTTCAGCTAATGGTTCCAAACTTTGTGAAATTCTGTCACTGTAGGTGAACAATGGATCACAGTCACCACTGGGCATCAGAGACTCAGCTGTCATAAGGACTGCACTTCTCTAAGTGTTGTATCTCTGCTATAGAGTTTTAAAAATGCTAAGTTTTCTAGTAGCATGACCACAATTGCTGGATATCTTTGGAGATTTAATTTTTTGATGGTAATAGATGGTAACAGAGAAGAATAACGAGAGTCTCAACAAGTAAAGAAATATTTTTTTTCAAATTGATTTGAAACGGATCTACACCAGCTTCTGACTTGTTAGCCATTAGTTCTGCACTCTTAGAGATGTCTGCAGAAAACTATTTTGATGACAACCGAGAGTGTTTGCAGGCTTGTGGAACAAAATGATATAATTTAGAAATTTTCTGTGAGATAATAATGACGTTCTAATTGAAAAATGTACTCTAATTACCCTACATCTTTATAAGCCCGCCTCAGGAGCACAGTAAAAGAACAAGTGGCAATATTTTTACTGTACTATATGAGAAAAGGCTCTCAAACTTTTATTTGTATCACTTGATGCATGTTCAGGAGGTGGAAGTCTCATAAAAGCAAAATAATTTCCTGCTTTTGTCTGAGCCAAAGTGAACTTAAGCCACGTAAATTAGAGACAGACTTTGAGGTGGGACTCACGCACACACCTGGGTGCCCTGTGTCCTGGTATGCATTGGGATATCATCACTGACACCCATCATTCTCCTCTCTGTCAAGCCCCAGGATATGAGTAGAGGAGCTGGGCTGGGTCTCTGCCAATCTATCACTAATGAGCAGTGAACCAAAGCTGCAGTTGCGAGCTGGTGTCCTGCACTCCTGACTGCACCTCTGCAGCGGGTTGACCCTGGCCAGATGACAGGTACTCACTAAAGCCACTCTCTCTCTCCCCTCTGCAACTGGACAGAGGAGAGAAAAAAAAACAGCTAAGGGTCCATGAGTAGAGATAAGAGCTGGGAGAGGTGAGTTACTGATCTTCTTCACAGGCAAAACAGACTCACAGTGGGGATATTACTTAAATTTATTACTAACAGGATCAGAACAAAAGAGTGAGAAGTAAAATAATCTTGAAAACACCTTCCCCCTATCCTCTTTCTTTTCATGTTCTCCCTCGTACCCCGCCAGCGGTGCGGGGGGACGGGAAGTGGGGGTTACGGTCAGTTGTTGTTTCTGCCGCTGCTCAGGGAGAGGAGTCCTTCCCCTGCTCCCATGGGGTCTGTCCCACGGGAGACAGTCCTTGATGGACCTCTCCAGCGTGAGTCCATCCCTCGGGCAACAGTTCTTCACAAACTGCTGTCCCGTGGGTCACTCCTCCATGTGGTGCAGTCCTTCACAAATAAACTGTACCAGTGTGGGTCCCCCACAGGGGCCACAAGTCCTTCCCAGGAAAAGCCTGCTCTGGCATGGGCTCCTTTCTCTGTGGGCTGCAGGCCCCTGGCAAGACCCTGCTCCAGCCTGGGCCTCCCACGGGGTCACAGCCTCCTTCAGATATCCACCTGCTCCAGCGTGGGCTCCTCCATGGGCTGCAGGTGGGTCTCTGCACCCCAATGATCCTCCATGGGCTGCAGGGGCACAGCTGCTCCACCATGGTCTGCACCACGGGCTGCAGGGGCCACAGCTCTGGCACCTGGAGCGTCTCCTGCTCCTCCTGCACTGACCTTGGTGTCTACTTTGTTGTTCCCATGTTCTCACTCTGCTCTTCCCTGGCTGGAATTCTTTCTGTGCAACAACCTTCTGTTCTTAAATACGTTATCCCAGAGGCGTTACTATCACTCCTGATTGGCTCAGCCTTGGCCAACGGCAGGAAGCCTGTCCTGGAGCCGGCTGGCATTGGCTCCAACAGACAGGGGAAACTTCTAGCAGCTTCTAACAGAAACCACCCCTGTAGCCCCCTGGCTGCCAAAACCCAGTCACAGAAACCCACTACAACCTCCCACCAGCATGATCTCATCAAGAAGCTGCAGGCTGAGACAACCTCTCAGGAGATTCAGTTTTTCAGGACACAATGAAGACCTTTTGGGAGCAGATTCAGGGTTTTGGGGAAAAATTAGAGTCTTCAAGGTAGCAATCCAAGCTTTCTAGGTAGAAGAAAAGTCCATCTGGGAGGGGGAGGCTGCCTTGTAGGAGGAAGAAAAGGCTATTCAGGAGGACACAGAAGCCTTCTGGAGGATGTATCATGACTTCTGGAAGGACCATAATGCTTTCTGGAAGAGGGATAAGAAAAATCAGCTCCTCTGGGAGAAAGACAGGGTCTTTCTGGATGAGAACAACGTTTTCTATGGGAAGAAGAATCTCTGTGGGCAGATGAAACAGCTCTCCTGGAGAAGAGAAGCAGGCCCTTCAGGAAAATTAAAAAGCCTTTAGGAGGATAAAATATTGATCTGTGTGGAGGCCTTTGGTCCTGAGAGAAGATATCTCCAGGGATTCTACTGTCCACAGAGGAAAAGAATAAATTTTTCTCCTAGGCTCAGAAACGTGGAAAGACACACATACTGAAGTGGATACTTTATTTAAGTAGTGCTACATTTCAACCAGTTCTCTGAAATGACATCTGTTGTCCTTGGTATAAATTAGAGGAGGATTTTTAATGTGATTTGCTTTAAAGCCATTGCACTTATGTTTTCAAGCCATTATTTATTCTTTTGAGGTTCTGTAGCCTGAAGAATGGGGTACACCTCTGGTTTCCTAGCATTTCACCAGGACACATTTGGGAGGGTAAAGCCACAAGAAGGTTAGATCTTAATGCCTGAGATCATCTTCTGGAGCTCAGAGCAGCTCACCTAACTCAACGCAGTATATATCAGCTAAATAAGACATAATGGATAATAGATAAATGGTAGCCATCAGATCCCCCATATTTAAGAGTCACAGTTAACACTTGGGTCCTAATAAGACAACTTGTGCTGTTCCACCAGGTTAGGTGAAACATTTAACTTCCTGCTGCTCTTGGGACCGTAATGGGAACGCTGACCTGCTTGGGCGAGCCCTCCTACATCTGCTGTCTGACAGCAGCTTTGGCATCAGCCTTGCTGACATGAATAGAGGGCAGGGAAGAAGTGGGAAGGATTACAAAAGTCAGCATGGGAAGAGATGCAAGCCGAAGAGAAAGTTGGCAGCAAGTCCCTCAGCAAGAGGGAAATAAATTTATCAGTGTGCATATGCATCTGTGTGTGTAAGAGCGGGAGAGGGTGCACACAGGGACTGGAATTATTATTCACCTGCTGAGCTCCTACTGCCAGTGCGGGTACAGGATCCTCTAACAGAAAATCCTCAACAACTGCAGTGCAATGTGTGGTCAATATTTAGCAATATTTCATAGAGTCATAGAATAGTTTGGGCTAGAAGGGACCTTTAAAGGTCACCTAGTCCAATCCCCCTGCAATGAGCAGGGACATCTTCATGCAGATCAGGTTTCTCAGAGCCCTGTCCAACCTGACCTTAACCACTTGCAGGGATGGGGCACCTACCACCTCTCTGGGCAATCTGTTCCAGTGCCTGACCACCCTGATTTTATATGCTATAAGTACAGAACCAGCATCTTCTGCCACAGCTTGGCACAGGAACTGCAGTTTTCCTCTTGAGAAACCCAGTCAAATGCTTTATATTTTCAAAGGCTGAGCTGTAAAGGCTGTTCTAGAGACAAATCTACATTTGACCATCCGTACCTCTGAGAACACAGGGGACAAGAGCAACAGTGAAAAGTATGAGGCATTGAATTTTTCTCTGGAATGGCAGCATTAGTAACTCATTCTCCTTCTATATAGGATTTTAACACTGAATAGACTCAAGGACAAAATGTAAGAAGCCTTTACAATTGCTGTTGAAGAATCTGATGACTTCTGCAACTGTCAGGCATTCTTAGGCTGTCGCTCAAGCCTGTCACTCAAGTTCAGTCCTTTGTGATGAGCTGAAGGATAAGGCTGCCTGTCCTGTTTAATTTTGTTCAGGTTAAATTATGCCCTGTATCTTTCCTGACAAATCCATGAATATTTATTGTTCAATGAATAACCAGCCCATACAAAAAAAGGCCAGCTGTTTCAGATAAGGTAGGAATGTTTTGCAACCTTTGCCTTACATGGCAACAATAGATTAATAATAACAGAGATGAAAATGACCTATTAGACCATTCAGTGCAACTTCCTGCAAATTCAGGGCTCTTACACATTAGAGCTTTATCATTAGATGCTATAGAGAGAAAGAACCTTTCAGAAAATAACAGCATTCAAAAAGCGCTTGTCACTTAATAAATTTTAATGTCAAAAAGCCAAGAATTATCTCAGTTATTCAAATCCACACATCAAATTAACATCCATTTAAACTAAAATTAGGTATGCTCTTTCTTGCAAAGAACTTGAAACACATGAAATGCCATTAGGAGAGTTCCTAGTCACTTCTTCTTTCATGGTAGAGCAGAACAGTGTTTCTCTGGTGAGAGTGCTGTCAGTGACAATACAACTGTTGAGAAGTTTAAGGCATTACACAGTGCAGAACAGAGGAACCAGAAGCTTAGCCATAGAAAACCATATACCAATATGGTTTTAGATTGCTGGTAGCTCCCCCAAAAATACTCCATCCTACCTGGTAGCTTCAGAGTGGCCTTTGATTAGGTGGCAATGATGGAGAAAGACCATATGCTTTCCGGATCTGGGTATTCGAAGTGAGAAGTTAGATGCCACCTGCTCTGTGTCCTGCAGCTCTGGACTGAGGATGAATTTCAGTCATGAAGGAAATCTCTGCTAACTCTCTGGAGTTGTAAAGTAATGAAGGGAACAAATAAAATAATTTTTATAACAAAAAGCACAGTTACATTTATCACCTCTGCAATATGCATGTGGAGGCTGTCAAAATGTGACACTCAGAGTGAAAAAAATACACCTCCCTTAGAAGTTCAAGTCTGCTGATCTGGCACAGGTTGGCTATAGGGACCAGGAAAGAATTGTACATGTCTAAAGACCTGAAGATATTTGAAGCATGAACTCACCTAGAGTGGAAGGACCTACAGAAGCTTCCAAGCCTACCTGTGCCTCAAAAGCAGCCATACCTGTAGGGCTCTGTGCAACCACTTCTCTAAGCTGTTTTTCTTGTTTAATTCCCAGCACTAGTGTTGCACAACCATCACTTTCTCTCTAGGACTTTACTTGCATTGATTTTTTTCATGATGTCTGAGGTGAATCTCCCTAATTGCAGTTTTGACTTCTTATCTGTAGTCCTATCCAGTGTCTGAAGCCCAGTATTGTCTTCTCTATCCAAGTCTCCCTAGATTAACCCACCCCATCTGCTGTCCTCCTTCACTGACCAGGTGCTTTGGGTAACTGCAAGGCTTCTGTCCTCCCTTCTTCACCACCTCCCCTCTCCAAAAGACTGAAAAAACAAGGTAATTTGCAGCATCCAGACACCAAACCTGAAGATGTCAAAAGTCCAGGTCACAATGCATGTTTTGCAGAAGGGATTCAGCCAGGAGTGATACAGCTGAGCCCTTCAGATACCAAACATCAGTGCTGAGCTGCACTGCTGCTGGTGGGTCCTTCTACAGAGCGATGCCACTGCATCGAGTCTTGTCCTGCACCTCAGCAT